CTTTTGGTCAAGTTCAAGTTAAAGCATGTAGTTCGATTGGGTAATAGTTTAATCTGGCCCTGAAGATGATCTCATTAAAGATCGAAACGTTGGCACGATAAAGAAAATGTTTTTCTGATACCTACATCACACCAGACCGCATCTCACGATTTCTGAATAATCATCGATAAAAATACATTTAGTTAGAACAAAAAATAAGAGTCCTGTTGTTTATATTTGAGTGTATGAAATTTACATAAAATAGCTCTTTCTTGAACTTTTGTGCAGTTAACATATTTACTCTTGGTTATTTAAAAAAAATAAAAGTTCAATTAATTTGTCGACTTTTTTCTTAGGACAAGTTCGTTTTCAATATGGTAATATTTTTTTATCTCAAATACACAGTTAAAAATATTTATAGATTGTTGATCGCGAAAAGTCACTACATTTCTTTTTAATAAAATACGAATACAACGTGTCAAGGGTTATCACAAATGTATTATATTGAAAAACATAACTTTAATTAGATAAAACTACGATCCGCATCTCTGTCGTTAAAAAAACCATAAAAACGAAAGAACAGCATCTGGATCAACAGCTAAGCTCTCGTGTATCAGGAGACCTCGGAGGATCTGAATTTAAAAAAGGGATCATTCTCACCTGAATAAAAATTGGCAATTCCAGCATATCACAAGCACAATTACTTTTGGGTCAATGCCCGGTATATAGACAAACGAAGGTTTCATAAAAAGCATGTAGAAATGCGACCTGGAATTGTGCTTGAGAAAGGCACCAAGACTTTTGGTCCCTGTTAGGTTTTTTGAAGTAAACAGGGTTGTATTGTAAAAGTACTGATATTGATCTTTGTTTTGTCTTTCCTTTTGTGCATATCGAGATAAAATGTATTTATTAGCGTGAATGTATGGACGAATAGTCTATACCAGGTTGACATACGGATACTTACTTCTGGTCTCTACAACTGTCTTCTAAGTCTGGTTTCTTGGACACATAAATCTTTGTGGTAACGAAACGGCGAACGAGCCGGCTAGCTAAAGTTGTCTATCATGGAATTCTTCTTAAATATTTCTGAAAGTTATAAATCTGCTTATTTATTAAAACTCAATTTACTTTGCTAAAATCTAATATTTCGCTTTTGAAAAAGTAAGTATTAAAAATCTGTTTGGAAAAAGTATAGTAACAATATAACAAACTTTGCTATTTTTATCTCTAGGCAGCTTTGAAGTGGCTGTGGTGACTAAAATAAAGCAATAACAAGATTTTATAGTTCTTGTAGTTTCTAAATTCCCGACTTAGTAAAATTTTATTTACATTTTTTATACAATATTTATTATAAAATTTTTAAAATTGTGAAACCTCCTCGCCTGTTATAAATTGTCTCTGCTCATTGTCGAATGCCTTAGAAGCCTTTTCGCCCTTTCAAGGAGATTCCTCCATCCCATGAATTGTAAAATGAGACCCGGAGGCTTTGTCGATATAACAATGGAGTTTTGTCGATTTACTAGCAAGGCATTAACATTGCTGATTGACGCCGTCCCGGTAGATTTGTCCTGGACAAAAGGACGCCCAGTGTTCGGCTGCAGTAAGTCAACATGATTGAACACGGCATCCGAACCCGCCCTGGCAATTTTATGGGCCTATTTGATAAGATCGATCCGATAAGTCGAAACGAAATCCCACGAAATACTACCATTTCAACTCTTACATCATGCAATTTTTTTTATATTATACAAGTTTTCAATGTTTCATTAAAATTTTGATTATAATTTTTGTTTTAATATTCAAAAGAGTGTTTTATATGTAGGAAAGTTGTATTGATTTCCCGAAAACATGAGAAATCAAACTCATTATGAATGTACATCATGAAGTATAAGCCATCAATGTTTCGGCCTTAGAAAATCTTAAAAGAGGTTATCTGACAAAAATTCTTCATTAAGGATAACCAAGCAGCGAAAAGGCAGACCGTATACTGAACGAAACCTTGGGATAACAAAAACCAACACAGAATCATTCTTCGGGATCCAAAAGATCCAAAAAAGACAAAAGGTGAAGTTGATAAACTTTAAAGGTAGATTTGGTATAGTTATTTTAAAAGAATCCTCACCAAAACTGGCAAACTCATCAGCGCATGATAGTCCTCAGAGGCATCTGAGAAAACATTTACTTAAAATAGAAAACCATACCTTGATATAATGTTCGTGAATGAAAAAGTGGTCGATATTTCTAATGCTAAAAACGCCAAAATTGTGATCGCGGTGGCCTATTGGTTCGTGTTTGCTACGCTAGCGGTTCCGGGTTCAAATCCCGGCATAGCCCATGATGTTTTCATTGAGTGTAGTACGAAAAATGTACTGTAAAATGGTTTGACCCAATGGGTAATTGGATGTTATGTGGATAACTCTAAACATCCTAGATAAATGTGTAGAGATAAGTGACCGTTAATCGATAATTATTCAGATATCGTGAGATGCGGTCTGGTGTGATGTAGGTTTCAGAAAAACATTTTCTTTATCGTGCCAACGTTTCGATCTTTTATTGAGATCATCTTCAGGGCTCAAAGTGTTTGTCTTCTGTGTAATTGTACCATACTTGCGTGTCGTGTTGAGACTCTTTTTTGCATTGTATAAATTCACTTTTTTTTCACATCCTACTTGTATTTGTTAATGTAAACAATGTTTGTAAATCCCAGTCCCTGAAGATGATCTCAATAAAGATCGAAACGTTGGCACGATAAAGAAAATGTTTTTCTGAAACCTACATCACACCAGACCGCATCTCACGATATCTGAATAATCCTAGATAAAATAAAATTATGCTAAAACCACCCTCAACAAAACAGGCAAACTGCTACAGTTATAAATGGTTAAAGTCAATTAACTGGTCACTAATTTGAGAAAACATGTACACAACATGGGCATATTAAATCATGATTCCATTTGTAGGTTATGCTGTGAGAAGGAGAAAACAGCAACCCATATCATTTTGAAATGCGAAGTAATCGCTCAATTCTTCAATAGTACTTCTTAGGAGAAGGATAGAGTCGATTTCACGGTTCCTAAAGAATTAGAGAAGTAAAATAAGCCAAAAGACTCCAGTTTGTGGAACAATCCCCTTATATCCATCATCATTGATTTCCATGCTTGATAGTCTAGAAAAATAAAAGATAGCATAGGGTAAAATTTATTAGAACACAATTAGAACACAATGGTTGGTAAAATGAAATCAAAGGTAATATTGAGTTTTAAAGAAAATCGTTTATTTTTACAAATATTGATTATATTATAATATCATTTCTTCTAAATAGATAAATCATTTCAATTTGTATGTACAAGACAATATATTTCCAATCACATTGTAGTAACAATATTATATATCTTTAATTGCATTATAATCCTTTAGGAATAGATATTTTTTAATCTTAGTTTAAAAATTACACATAAAAGAATTTTTCAATATTTAGAAACGTAACGTAGGTTCATTTTTTATAGATACGAATCATGGTAACGTTCATTTATTAAAATTGTACATTTATTAAAAAACAGCACAGGTACTAATACAACGTTTGGTTTATCGAAGCAGGAGACGGAAACGCAAAAGAGACACAAAAACTGTCTCGTTTTGCTGCCCCTACTTGTGTTAATAACAAAATTAAATTAACAAGAAACACTAAGGTTTTGTTTAAATATACGAGACCCAGTGTAAATTCCACAAAGCAGAGCGTTTTTAGTTTTCTTAACTCTTTTTATATGTGCAATTTAAGTTACCCTGTACACTTTTGGTCATTGCATTTTAGTTTAGTAGTTCGGCTCATTTGTCCACCGAAGCCTTCCGTAAACGATAATTAAATGCGGGATGGGGTGGCGGATTTGGTAGGATTGTTCTGTGGTAGTGTAGGGGGTCTTGTTAATGTTGTAGTAAGGGCCGCTAATAGTCCTGAACCCACAACCCATCGGCAACAACCTCTAATGAATTACCTGGCTTATCCCTAGAATCAATTCGTCTTGTATCCCCTGTGATTTGTTTTAAGGGTGGAAATAATTTATTAAATTTTTCCCCATTTCCTCTCACACAAAATTGATTGTACTTTAAACTAAAAAAAAAAGATCAACTGTCTTAAAAGTAGGGTTGTGTTTAATTAAAAATTAACGCAATTCTAACAAGCTTGGCAACCGGTTCTTCCTCTTAGTATCGGCGGTTAATTATTCATCCGCCCCTGAAGTAACAAAGTTGTTTTTGAAGATTCTCAACGTATGCAATCTTACAAGTTTTGGGATTTAACGGCACCCGATGGTGTGCAAAATGTTCCAAAAAACCCGGACAAAATGGAGCGAAATAACGTGGTTCAACGGGAAAGCAACCCAAGACGGGAATATTCCAGTTAATTCCACGGAGATAAGATTGGCAATCTTCGTACATGCCCTGGCCTGATGATAAACCAATACACAATCGGTATAACATTATTTCCCTCTTCTCAACCAATAAAACTTAGGCAATATGAAATTATTTCTAACAAGTTAATAATCTATTAAACTTATGTTTTCAATTGATGAAAATCCATGGAAATTTTACCAGTTTATGGAATTTTTCTACCGAAATTTTTTTTTTGTCATATTGCTTAATTTATTAAGATATGTAGATTGTAAAATGTATGCATTTCTTTCATTTTTATATGTGTGATATTTTGTTTGAATTTTTTTTGTGATGTGCCAAGAAGACAATTGTAAGGTATGTGATGAAATAAAATAAAAACCCATTATGAGTTCGTGGCCCGATTCACCGAATAACTTCTTTTCAATTAATTAATCTTTAGAAAGGTATTGGTTGAGATAAAAAAGTCAGTACCACGAACGGGATTTGAACCCACGACCCTCGGCTAAATACGCAGCTGCTCTACCAGTACTTCGATCGGGAAGTTGATGTCCGAGTGGATCAAAGTCACGATAGCTCAAACGGTAGAGCAGTGGCGTATTTAGTCGAGGGTCGTGGGTTTGAATCTCGCTCGTGACACTTTTATGACTTTTTAATCTCAACCTTTCATAAAGATAAATTAATTAAAATAAAAACATTCAAATTCAGGACGCTCCAATAATACTTTTGAACTTGATCGATATGGTTGAAACAAATGATCCTAAATTATTAAACATTGAGACATTAAAATATGTAATAATTTCAGCAGGATGGAAAGAATGAGATTCAAAGGGAAAAGTAAGAGGATTGATTTGAATAAAATCTCAGAAATGGACTATAAATGAGGGTGGACTTAAAAAAGTGGAGCTTTGAGCCGTGCATGGCCGCTCTGCTAGGATTGAAATCCACCCTTTGACAAATTACATCTATAAAAAAAGAGGGAATGACCAAAACGTCTTTTAACTGGGTCTCGGGCCTAATTAAGTCGTCTATGTATATATACAGATCCCCTTAATCTCAAGAGTTCGTTGTTAATATACACAATATTTACAAGAAACAAGGTTTTTTTGATATGTATCCGCACGGGTAGGAAATTTATCTGAGACCCAAAGTCGCCTCCTCTCGGATATTATGGAATCTAAGATACATATCGTAGGCGATTCGTCTTCACGGTTTACGCAACCGGTCCCGTCTGCTGATTACGCAGATGGCGGAGAGGTCAGGTGATTGCTGTCAGCATCAAGAAAAGGGCGCCCGCCGACGTGAGCAGCCTGGCACCACTGCTGGCAGACGCGGGTGCTGATCCGTCCTCTGACATCACAGAACTCGCCAACACGATTCCGCCTCTTCCTCCTCTCGCTTTACCCTTTGTAACACTGTTTTCCTCGGGCGGACAGTTCTGAAAAAAAAAATATTATTAGGAGATTTCACCCGAAAAACAGAACCATAAAACAGTACAATGAAAAAATCCCACGTCCTCTAAACAGCAGTACTTGGGACTCAGAAACTCGCTACTGTGTCCGAGAGCCATTTTTAATCCGGCGACGTGCCCTTCACTCTCTCTATAAGGAGCCAAATCATGGCAAGCTTGTATTGTGCGGCACACATCGAGCATTTTAAAAGGCAACTAATTAATAATGATTACATTCACTTTATTCATGATTATGATATATTCTTTTTGTTCGAAATCGTCGTAAGTAATGAAATTTTTTAAAACTATCAATTTAGATTTCTTTGTAAATGTGCTTTAAACAAAAACTGCGATGGATTCATGCAAAAGGGAAAGCTAAATTAGGAAAATTGATGTATAATAACGGCAATAAAAAACTAGCAATTAATTATTAATCATAATAATCAAAGTTTAATTTCATGTAAATTGTATTTTAAGAATCAATTATGCTGATTTTTTCGTTGAAAAAATATCTAAATTGTAAACGCGTACTGCTTTCATCCATCACAAATTAGTCAACACAATTTAATGAATATTGACACAAAGTTGCAATTGGAACAGGGTAACTTCGTTTAAATGATTAGCAATAAATTATTTAAAGACAGAGAAATAAACAAAAAGAAAGAGAGGCAAAGTGAAAAAGGGAGACAGAAAGAGAAAATCATAGAGAAAGAGATTGTGAGAGAAAAAGAGAAAGATGGATAGAGAGAGAGCACAAGAAAAAGAGAGAGAGAAAAACCGAGAGAAAGGGAAAGAGAGAGAGAGAGAGAGAGAGAGAGAGAGAGAGAGAGAAAGAGGGTGGGAGAGGGAGAGGGAGATATGGAGAAAACAAGTTGAGTGGTGATACTACAAGATTGAGCTCATATCCACCATTCTTCCACGTCAGAGAGAAGGGTAGAGTAGGGGCGGTGTGCGATAGAGAGAGAGAGAGAGAGAGAGAGAGAGAGAGAGAGAGAGAGAGAGCGAGAGGGAGTGAGAGAGACAGAAAGACAGATGGATAAAAATGAGGTTGAGTTGAGGTACTCCCAGATTTTGATCAATCATCTTTCTTCACAGTCAGATCGAGCGAGGGAACGAGACAGAAAGAGAGAGAGAGTGTGTGTGTGTGTGTGTGTGTGTGTGTGTGTGTGAGGGAAAGAGAGAGAGAGAGAGAGAGAGAGAGAAAGAAAGAGAGATAGAAAGAAAGAGAAAGAAGGAGTGAGAGAGAGAAAGAAAGAGAAAGAGGGAGTGAGAGAGAGAGAGAAAAAAGAAAGAGAGAGCGAAAAAGTGGGAGTGAGAGAGAGTGAGAGAGAAAGTGGGTGTAAGAGAGTGAGAGAGAGAGAAAGAGTGAGAGAGAGAAAGGGAGATTATACGCTTTATTATTATTTTGGTAAAGCCATTCGTAATGAGTTCTTTCAAGTTAAAAAAATCAAATAATATTGTTGCTACCTATAAATGACAAAGCCATTTAACAACATTTTAAGCAAAAATTAAATGCAACTTTTATAACTTTAGAAAGCAAGTTGTGATGGAGTTAAGGCATATTATGTTTAGGATTAGAGTTTTATTTTTTATTGGTTGTTTCCTTTGAAGGTAAAACTGTCCCACCCGCTCTTTATTTTTTTAATTATATTTTTTTATTGGCCATTAAAACCTTCGGGTCTGCCCTGTTTCAATTGTCTCAAAGAGGTGGCTGAATGCAAAAATCGCCAGTGAAATCGAGCAAAATAATTAATCCGACGTGGTCCATTGAGGGGGTTTTGTCGAAATAATCCCTGTTGGCGTTAATGGCCTGTTTATTTTCTTTTCGTGTTCCTATTTCGGGGGGAAAATTGACGTTTTTCATTGTTTTTTACAATAGGTATCGCATAAAAGGATATTTTTTGTCACCTTTGCATGTAGGATTTCCGATAATCAATTTTTTCGTCTGAACGTATGCTGTGTCTTTTGTAAAGAAAGTGTGTTCGTAGCTTTAACTTGCTTATAAACTTGGATTCTTCTTACAATGGGCTTTCCATTATGTTGTTTTTGGTAGTGTTTTTCACAAAAAAACTTAATTTTTAATCTTTTTTAATATTGATAATTTACTCCTGTCAATGTAAATACGTAAAAAGTAGTAAATATCTTTGACCTATCATCAAATTGCACTTTGTATCCAAAATTACAGATGATTATAAAATATTGACAAAACTTTTGCATCAAACTCATCAAACAATATATCGTGATAATAAATATTAGTATTCAATATTACAATTTTATAGTAAAAAATCAGGAATAGGGCCAACTTCTTCCATTATCAACTCGGTAATTCACTTTGTTTTAACCATAAATTATAGTAGTTTAAATATATGTTCATATCTGTTAAGGTTAGAAATTACTGATAAATTTTCGTGGACTTGATGAAGTGGATAAATTCATGGAAAGCTTTCCAAAGCAACTGGGAGTTCCAATGTTGTTTTCTTTTTTAATTGGCGTCAGTCCTGATGTTTTATTATACAATTAAGTTGATGGGTAGGAAATAAAATGTTTTTTCCACAATAGGCGTTTATTTCGTCAGATGCGTTTCGGTTTAAAATAGACCATCTTCAGTGCCTTTTCAAAAATATAATGTTTTGACGGTTTATTACATACTTATAAGTTTAAAAGTGGATTTCCGGACAACGATGGAAGAGGCGAGTAGTCTATCAAGAATGATCTTCGCGAAACTACTTTATTTTAAAAAAGTCACTGAAGAAGGTCTATATTAGACCGGAACGCATCTGACGAAATAAATGCTTATTGGGGAAAAGATAATTTATTTCCTACCCATCAATTTATTATGTAGTTCCATAAAATGAGAATGGAACACTATAAAAAAATTATTATACAATTCTTCAACGTATATAGTGAACGTTTGCGTGATTTTATTATTAATCATTGTTCCTCACGCATGCATTTTTTACAAACAAGTGGACGACCAGTTTGGAGTGTCCCGGATTTAGAGAAAACTTTTGTTGGAGATTCTACACTCAAAAATATTGTACACGTACCCGCCACTTCTTGTGAATAGGCCCTGGTTTCGTCAAAAAATTTGAAAGTTGAAATTTTCCGTTTTTTAATATTGTTATTTCGCCTTTCTACTTGCTCAAATCAACTACGTGATATACCGTTTTACAGCATTTTTTATATAGATTGCAATAAAAATATATTAAAAAGCTAACAAAGTTTATCAATACCAAAAAATTTCTAAAAGCCAGATTTTTTTCAAAAAATTAGGTCATTTTTTCGTGAAAATAATATGACATTTCGTTTTACCAACTCTATAGATCCCTGAATATAAATTTTTGTTTGAATTTAAATTTCTCGATTTTTTGACCCCCTAAATTTTTTTAAAGAAGTCATCGGAATATCTGATTTAAACGGGTATAATTTAAAAAAAAAAAACTAAAAGAATTTTAACATGAAACATACCAATTGAAAATAGATAAACATAGCTTTTCAACGACGTATACATCTTAAAAATATATAAAAGATTTCTATAAAAAATACACAAATAAAAAAAAATTATTTCTCAGAAATTAACATTTTTAAGTGGAAATAATAGGCCGATTTTAATGTTTGATACAGTTATAAAATGCATTTAACAATTTCTTAAAAAGGAATTACCAACCATGAACATCGGTTTACCAGGTTTTGAGAAAAATGATGTTAAAGCTTGCACTAAGAATATCAGTCTCACAGAAGGACGTCCAAATTATCAGTCAAAAAATTAATTTACACATATGTCAACGAAAGTCAGTATCTACGGGTTGTATAGCACTAAAATCGCGACTATGAAGTCAAATCCAAGTTTAGACCATTTTCTGACCTACTTTGCTTACAAAATATTTGTTCAAATATGCAAAAAAGAACAAATATTTTGTTGATTTATCTTTTTAAATCATACCGAATTAGAATATTTTGTGTCGTAGAACATTTTGATTTTTACCAACAATGAAATTAATACACTTTTAAAAAAATTTATAAAGAACCATTTAATTTATTTAATTAAACTTACTTTATACTTATACTAATGACTGTTTATATTTATAATTTTTGTTAATATTTTAATTTTATTTAACATGAAATGTCTTCTCTGGCATGAAAGTCAATATCCTAAGGATTTAATAACGCAAGAATCACGGGATTGAGGTCAAATTCAAATGTAAAAAACTCTTTTGTAAATTGTCTTTTTTTAGTCGATCGTTTGATTCTCATTTGCGAATGAAATGAGACGCATAAACTAGATTTCGGTATGCTCTGGATGGAAAATCAAAATTAATTATTATCTGCCGAGCGTTCTACCTATCTTAATATCATCATCCGGGAAAAACAATCTTAAAGATGTCTACAGATCGAAATAATTAAGTTTTAAAAAGATGGCATCAATTCCTTTGAAGACCTACTCCGTCCAAAGGTTTTCCAATCCTTGTTATTGTTGGGACTTAGTCGGATGATGACCTCAAAATATGTAGAATGCTTGGAAGATAACGATTGTGTTTGTTTTTTCGTACAGACCATAACGAAATCCAGATTATTCGTGAAAAACACTTTAAATCAAAAGATTTTAGGTAAAATTTTCAACTGAAAAAAATATAGTTAAACAAACCTAAAAATTTAATTGAAATTTTATAAACAACCACGAAGAAGAAGTAAACATCAATATAATTTTACTGTGTAATTTTAATTTTTTTGAAACAGTAAAAAAGAACAAATTTGTCGACTACCTGCAGGCAGTTTTTAGTATTAAATATTGTAGCATTCCCCTTTTTCCTCAATGTTATTTCTTAGGTTACAAAGACAAAGGGAATTCGTACATTAAACATTTATCGCTGTCTCCACTTACAGAAATTCATTCAGACAGTTGTTTTAATTTTTGCAAAAGAAAATTCCATCTCGCTGAGAGGAAAAACTCGATCCTCTAAAACAGGGTTGGAAATTGTCATAAAGAT